CCCCTCTTCTTCACGTCTCTTCTACATCAACATGTGTCCCCTCTGTGGAAAGAGACTCTGAAAGTTTCAGGAACAAAGATTGACTCTCTTTTTGTCCTGATCCATTTCTATAAAAACCTGTCTGGAAAATGAGCTGATCAGATTTTGGCCACTTTGTGATGTCATAACGATGTGTTGGCTTGTGTAACCATTAGCCAATCAGCAACCAAGGTAACGCCCCCCCCCTTATCACCTGAATCTCCTCCTAGAGCACCATTGAGTTCTTTGTAACCCAATGTCTCTCAGAGGGGCGTGGGGAGGGGCTCCTTATTTTCATCTAAAGTAACAGACAGAGAATCAGCACTTTGGAAACAGGGATGAAACAGAGGGGATTATGGGTAATGCTGCAATGATCTGTTTGGTGTTTCAGCCAATCAGAGACAGGCTCTGTATATATCTGAGACCTGTGATATATTGATGAAGAACAGTCTAATAGGGGACCTTTTTAAATGAAAAGGTATAGACTGCCACTCTTGAGCGATTGTTATGTGTTATTGTCTTGAGGTTTATATCAATTGTCTGTCTCTGTTCCTGCAGTTTGACCTCCAGAGGATGATGATCTACTGTGACTCCAAGCATGCAGAGCTGGAAACCTGTTGTGATATTCCCGATGGACCTGTGAGTATTGGAGTAGATCCGGTTCTGATCGCAGGTTACTTTCACACAGTAAGCTGTCGTTTTTCCCAAGCTAGATTTGAATTTAAAACACGCTTCTTCTCAGCTTGTAGAGACACAGCTTAGTTGACACGAGTGTTCAGTATTTAGCTTTGTTAGCTACGGTAGCTAACGTGACAACAGAGTTAAGGAACACATTTTCTTAACACATTATACAAAAAGCATTCTCAGAGATCATAAAGTCATACCTTTGCAAGAGAAAACATCTGAAATTCTTAGTCTTTTTGGGAATGTAATCATGAATGTTGTTGTTTTTCCTTACACAAACCATCAAAGCCTTTTTTAATAAAACAGAAAAAAGAATGACTTGCTACACAGATGACTTCACAGGTGTCGTGAAAGCCATGTATTGTCAATAATGAGTGATTTAATGCTCATCAGATTCTCCTGATAGTTATTTTAATTTGACCATAACTCGAACTAGAAATATTGTACAAATCTATCTAAACTAAAACTATTATTTAGAAAGAAAATCATTAATGGTTATAGGCAGGACCTGTGAACTCATGCTTGTTATTTCTTGTCATTGTAAAAGTTATTTATTTTTTGGAGGGTTATGTTTGTTTGCAACATGACGGACACATGACGCTGATGACGATGACCTCATCTTTAATTTTCGGACCAGAAAAGTATTTGTAAGCTTCGTCTTGCCCCTGTTGAACATGACAGAGACTATTTGAGAGTTTATTTATTTGACTTTTTTTTGCACCTTGAACGTTTTTTTGTTTGTTTCTGACATTGTTCAATCAATTAAAAAACACTAAATAGAGGAACGACTAATCCTATCATTTCAGTGCCCTAAGAAAGTGGTTACAGAAGCCCCCCCCCTGGAGATCCCCACCCCCACACCGGCTGCAGTGGAGCAGAAAAGAGGACCTGAAGCGAACTGCTCGTGCCCAGAGGGAGAAAAGGTAAAGCCCCCCCACTCCAGCAGTCTTTATCCCCATCTTTTAGTTTCACAGATGAGTGGGAGTCCTTTCTGAAATGGCTTTCCAAAGACGTCTCTATTTTCATTTCTCACAGGGAGATATCGGTGTGCCCGGTGTTGCAGGACCTAAGGGCGATAAGGTCATCTACCGTTGCCTTTAAGTACTCGTGTGTGTGTGTGTGTGTGTGTGTGTGTGTGTGTGTGTGTGACGACACAATACAGATTCACAGTGTGTTCAACTTTTTTACTTTGTGAACGTACGCTTTTCAGGGTATCTCTGGCCCTAAGGGCGCCGTCGGAACGTCTGGAGTCAAAGGAGCAAAAGGAGAAACTGTATGAAAACCTAAAGTGTTTATTTACAAGCGTGGTTTTTTTTTTTTTAATGGTGAAAAAAAGTAGTTAATTGATTTAGTTTCAGTCCATAGAGTGGTGCAGGAATGAGTCCAAAAACCCGGAAAAGAGTTAGCATTATACAATTTCTCAAAGTCCACTTTATTTTAACGGGTTAAAAATAAGATCTGTTGTTAACACAAGCTGAACAGATTTACACGTTTTGTTCTAAGACATAAGGACATCAAATCAACATCAATAGGACGAAATACTCCACTGGTGAAAGGGTCTAAATGAGTCTAAACGTCATCACAACGAACATTAGCTGCCTTTAACTTAGCGGTTGTGTGACTGTTGCTAACAAGAGACTTCTAAACGTCATCTCGACATACATTTTCTCTTCTGGCGATTCCATTTACGCTTCAATAAAAGTTGTGTTAATATGTGGAGATTATCCTGCTGAGCAAAATGTGTAAGTGTCATAAACGTGTGTTAGCCACAGAGCTAATTTTCTGCATCCAACGGTAAAATCCCATTGCTTTTGTCGAGGGAACAAGTGCAAAGCTAACTTCAGGGTTTACCTAGAACAATACGTCAGGACTGCATCACTCTATGTGCATTTCATTCTTTAGATATACTATTATACACATTTAGTTCAGATTGCATGCCTTCCAGCTGCTTTTCTGCCCGCCTCGATAATAATTGATCCTTGTCGATGAATTATTTGCAGGGCAAAGTAAACTCTGTTAAAGCTGACAGAGGAGAGAAGGTAAGTACACCTGCTTCTCCTGATGCTAACATCACGCTCTTGTCTCCGTGCATATAAACCCTGTCTCTCTCTAATCTTTATTTCCTCTGTCTTTCATGCTACGTGCTTCTTTTATGTGGTTTTTCTAGTTATATTTTTTACTTTTCTGCCAGGGAGTGGCTAGGAAAATGCTCAAGCAGCTGTTATTGTTAGAATTACAGGACAGGCGACCACAGAGGACCCCCCCCGGTCGCCTGTCCTGTAATTCTAACAATAACAGCTGCTTGAGCATTTTCCTAGCCACTCCCTGGCAGAAAAGTAAAAAATATAACNGCGGGACCCGGCAGCTACTGTCTAAACTAAATACAGCCGTGATGAAACGCCATATCATGGATTATCAAGGATTATCTCTGAAACAGTATGGAGCTCAAAGGCTTTCTCTCTTGCCGGTTATACCACAAGGTGAGTTCCTTTTTATTTTCCTGCTTCTTCACACACATGCTCTCCAGTACAGGTTAGCTCTGAGTGTTAGCGATGCTAATGTAAACACCGACCATATTACGTCCAAAACAGTTGGGCATTGTTTCTGATAGCTACGTTTCTGATAGGGCCGTGGGTCCACATTTCAGATATTACGTCATATCGGACGCAAATCTGGATCAGCTCCGTTGTTCCCCGTTTTTAGAGATGTGGGTACGGAGGAAAAAAGAGGGTTTTATTTTCTGACGCTGCGTGAGTTCCCCGACACACCGGGGACAAAGCTATAAAAGACATCACAAAGTGCATTTTGCATGATAGGTCCCCTTTAAAGGAAAGTGAAACGTGTGGGTAAAGCTTCACGGAAATGTATTCTATGTATGCGTGTATCCTCCTGCATGCATATGGGTTGTGGTAAAAGCGTTTGTGCACCGCTGGAGGAATCATCAAAGTGGGTAATTACAGAGAGACAAATGAAGTCAGCGTTTCATTTTGTCAGACAAACGAGTGGGCTGAAACTCAGAGGAATGTCTGGAGAGAGCAGACAGAAGCTAGGGAAACCTGTGATAGCTCTTTAAAAATGATTGATATCAGCGGAGCTTATTAACGAAATGCTTAAGGCAACACATATATCCAAATGAAGTGGTGTTTATTCATATAGCACAGGAGGGACATACTGTACCTTGAGGCCTTTAACTCCAGAGAGCCCAGAAGCACCAGACAGTCCTATCACACCCTGACACATTCAAGAGAAAAGCTTAATTAATGCAAAAGTGGCTCATTAAATCATAAAAACATTATTCTTTGTGGGGCTTTTCTGTAAAATCTTAAACAGAGTCATCGCTTACATCTTTCCCAGGAACACCAGGTTTGCCGGGGAATCCATCGAAACCTGCCTCGCCCTAAAATGTGTAGAGGAAAATATAATTATGCTTTGAAAACGTTGAGTAATAAAGTCTCTTAAATCACACATGAAAACGTTGAAATGTGCTTATCAGAACCACCGCTGTCTTGTAAGTATTTAGCAAATAATCAACTCTAGAAGTGATGGAGTATGTAAAGTCCAATTAAGTGCTAGCCTAATTAGCATATCAGCTATACTTTGCCAAAGTCAAATCGGCATTATTAATAAAAACAATTAAAAGATATAAAATAAAATACAATTTAAATAAAAAAAATTAAAAAAATGTATGTTATTCTAAAATGGATCATCGTTTTTTCCGCAGGTGATGAATAAAGTATTTCCGATTGTGATTCTGTAGTGCACATTTTATAACACATTGTACAGTATTGGGAGCTAACATGTCTCCAGTCCATCTAGTACAGGGGTACCCATTACGTCGATCGCGATCGACCGGTCGATCGCAAAGGTAGTGTGGGTAGATCGCATGGCATTGAACTTTTTTTATTTTTTTCAAATAAAAAAAAAAAAAAAAAATTAATTTAATTTTTTTTAAAGTTAGCCTATCATCCATCCTTACTATGACATTTGCCACTTGATTGACGTACAGGTAAGCCAGTCTAAGTTGTATTGTGCCATAAAGGTTCATGCAGTTATGAGGGGGTCATTTTAAAAGTAACTCCCAAGCTGAAAAAGTGTGGGCACCCCTGATCTAGTATGATTAACTACCGGTACAAGTAATTGGTAGACAATTTGACCGTGTGGTGTTGCAAGATAATAAAATCGGCAGCACAAAAGTCCTCAGGATTCTTCCCTTAGACCCCATTTATATCCGTTCCAAATCCAATGGAGAATAATCAAGTTTTGTTATTTCTGTGTGGATCAAAGCCACGGGCCACATTACCATAAAGCTACGCTGCTAGCATGGCTGATAAAGGGCAGATTTCTAAACAGTAGACAGTGCCGTGTAATCCAAAACACATCTTTACGTTTTCACTCAGGAAACATGGCCTGACTTCAACCCCAGGTGCCTCCTCTAAACGTTCCTTAATCGCTTTTCTGAGGAAAGTACTTTTCCAGTTTTCACAGGAAATTGCTTGCTGACTGATTTGCTGGATGATGGACAGCTCTAACTTTGGCATTAGCATGTTTGAAAGGAGCTTCAGTGTGTGGAGAACATGCTGCACATCCTCAGGCCACATGGAGAAGTCATCAGTGAACTGACTGTGTGTTTATGGCTTCATACAAACCCCTTGTTAAAGTCATTTCAATTCAAGTTGACGTCTCAGCGTGACACAAAAGCCACTGTTACTGCTGTTTCTGCTGCTTATTGAATCACAAAAACATATTGACTCAAGTGGGAGAAAACCTGATTTCTTCGAATGGTTTCTAACATCATCGTGTTGGCAGATCGGAGGAAGACTTCAGACGTCAACATACTGAAGCTTCAGAGGGTCTCAATGAGTTACGTTTCAGCCAAACGCCCACACAGGACCCCAGACAGGAAGTTTGGAGAGTGAATCAAGGAAGCCACATCTGTTCGCACCATTACGCCCCCCAGCTCTCAGTCCTTCTGAAGAAGAACGGCCTTTTCTCAGGAGTTAACTTCGTTCTCCGGATTTGCGGTGAAAGGTCTACTGTGTACAAGTTTAATCCATCATACAGTACATGTTCAAATACTGGGACATGATGGGGAAACATGAACAGGGACACTTAATGTGTAACTCTCTCTCTCGTCCCTAAGCACCTGAGGATTTCATCAAAATGCTAAACCCTATCTGTGGATTTCTTATAATACAAAAGAAAGGGATGCAGCGTTACTAACCTTGTCTCCTGTACTTCCTTTGTCACCCCTTGAACCGGATTCACCCTACAAAAAAACACAATTACAATACAATTTAATGTATGTATATCATTATTTATCAAAATCAGATGTTAAAGAGTCCTCTCCTGCTGATGTTCAGGTGTATATCACTATGTAGTGTCTCTACTTTAAAGAGTCCTCTACTGCTGATGTTCAGGTGTATATCAGTATGTAGTGTCTCTACTTTAAAGAGTCCTCTCCTGCTGATGTTCAGGTGTATATCAGTATGTAGTGTCTCTACTTTAAAGAGTCCTCTCCTGCTGATGTTCAGGTGTATATCAGTATGTAGTGTCTCTACTTTAAAGAGTCCTCTCCTGCTGATGTTCAGGTGTATGTCAGTATGTAGTGTCTCTACTTTAAAGAGTCCTCTCCTGCTGATGTTCAGGTGTATATTTAAATGATAATAAAAGTGACCTCAGATCATACTCACAGAGACACCCTTTGGTCCCGATGAGCCACGAGTTCCTTCATCTCCTTGAATTCCCTGTTAGGATATAAACAACATTTTATTAGGAGGAAGTTGGACTCCCCAAAAGTGTTACTCAGCAATATACTTTAGGGCCAACTGGCACAGCGCTGAGTCAGAGGAGAATCAATGTAAGAAACCTGAAACCTCAAAAAAAGAAACAGCAGTTGTCAGTGGCAGGACCCCCCCATCAAGGGACAACCTTAAACTTTGACCTCTGACCTCAGCTTTATTGTTTCCTCATGCCAAAAAGAGAACAAATGTGTCCTCGGAAAATTATTTGGGAACTATATTTTCTCTCATCACTGCTATTTTCATTAAATATGAGATAGTTTTACAATCTCACCCCAAAGTAAGACTAGATGTTGGCTTTACTGATATTTGAAGTCATACCAATAACATGTGAACACAGTGGAACCCATTTAAAGCTGAAAAGACCATTTTAATAACATCTTAAACTTCATTTTAACTCATAATCAGGTTTTTTATAATTACGATATTAGAGCAAGAAAACTAATCAAAAGCTGCCTCTATTGTTAAGAAAATGTCTTGTAATTTGTATTTTGGGACTGCATTTATGAATAGAAATCAGACCGTATTGTTAACATTTAAAATTTGAATTAAAAACTGAAATATGATCCTCCGTACGGCAGGGTAAAATACAAGTGAAACCGCTTTTCTACTGTCCTTTTAATATGAACTAGTAGGAAAACTTATTTTTAAATATGTGAATAAAATTAGATAATTTCATTTCCATTCAATTAATACTCAATTTGGAGTATTACTGGCTAAATGTTATAATGCTATAGTTGAATTGTCAATAGGCTCGTATGACAAAACAAGGCTTTCCTTTGAGTGTTCACCTCACATATTATTTCTGTTACTTTATTTACCTTCTTGATAACAATACTGTGAACCAGGCTTGATCTCTATTTTCAAAAACGATTGCACATGCATCTATAGCACATGTGTCAAACTCAAGGCCCGGGGGCCAAATCAGGCCCGTGGTGGATTTAATGTCGGCCCGCAGGATAATTTCTAATTACTATTAGATCTGGCCCGCCGGTATATTGCACGCACACCTTCACTCCATCCTGAGGGTCTCCTCAGCTCAGAGCCTGAGCCCAAACATTGATGACCTTGCACCCAAGATGAGATGCCAAGTATCTGAACGAGCATCACAGAGCAGCACACTGAGTTTAATGGATGTTTCCTTCTGCACTTTCTCTCTCACGACAACAGGGCATGTTTGGTTTTCTCTTTGAGGGAAATAGTTTTGTTGAAGCTGTTGTTGGCCTGTGGGAAAATGTAATCATAAGAAATGTGCAATAAGTTCATTTCAATAACTTCTGCAATAAACATTGAACCAGTCCGGCCCTCGACTAGTACCCATTTTTTAATATTGGCCCACTGTGTA